GTGGAAAATTGGTAGGTAGGTTTTGGGAGGAGGGGGGGGGTGGGGTCGTACCTACAGCACCATTCCACACATCACCATGCTGTACCCTAATTCATCGATATGCATGATTCCATTCAAAGATGGCTGCTCTGACCTAAACAGGGTTTTATCGGAAGAAGCTTCATACGGGCTACAGGTAATTTGATGGAGGTTAAGGTTCCCATTCAGAAATTTCTACGATTCCCACGGTAATTGACGGATGGCAACGCCACGGGTGCTAAACTTGCAAAACCCAAAAAATAAGAACATCAAAAAAGACAAGGGAAGTTGAGGTGGAGGGATACGGGCATGGTGCCACGCCGTGCCTTTATCTGGAATCACGTTGTCCAGCTACGTTTTTGAAGTTTCGGGACGGTTATAGACAGTCCTCATCACTGCGGACTGTCGGAGGCGGCGTGAGCAGCGCGGTTCGAGTCCGCGTTCGGCTCCCTTGCTCTACCAATGGCGATCGGGTAGAGATCGATTTAGGAAGGAAACAACCAATCGCTACCCGACAATCGGTGATGTTAAGTGTACGCTACCGAACTATGCTTGCAATCATTCAAAAGGGGAAAGCATGGAAACGGCACTGTTTTGATAAGAGGACGCAGGCAAGTGGACGACATGGCATGGTCACACCACTGTTTGTGCTCTCACCCCATCTACACATTTTCCAAAAAACCGGTGTGACCATGCCATGTCGTCCACTTGCCTGCGTCCTCTTATCAAAACACATTTCGCATGTTCTCTAGAGGTCCAGAACTTTCAAGCAACTTGCTGGTGAACACATGCATAGAGCAGCGTTCGGACTTCGCGATGACGCGCGTCATCGAGAAGTCTGAACGCTGTTTAAGAAAGGTAGAAGCAAAGCCTGTATAGTGTCTAACATTGAGGTTTAACCGTACTTGAATCGTGATATACGTGGAGAGTAGTGAGAACACAGCGGCAAGAAGGCTACAGGATTTGAGATAAGTGCACCTATCCAAGAGGTATCTACCCAGTAGGATCGAATCTTATTCCTTCTTTCCTTCCTTCAGTTGCGGTCCAGTACCAATAATGGGAACGCGCCACGTTAGTGGTGGGTATATGAAGTACAGAGCAATTGTCGCGACGTTCACAACAAGAGCAGCCGCGTTGGCGATCTGAAATGCATTCGTAAAGATCTGGGATATGTCTTTGTAATGAAGTATTAATAGTAAATCCTACCGCAATGTATTGGTTTCCTGTCAAAAGACCAAAAGCAAGCCACTGCACAATAAGCAGGAACATGGCGTATTGGAACAGGGCCGGTAGGTATTCCGTATGTCCAAATGTGATCGCTCGTTTCTGGAAACATTGAGCTATCAAATGTGCTGGAGATACTTTATGTTATTCTGCTCTGAATCGGGAAAAGTTTTCCATTTCTATAAAGGCGTTGCTAAACGCTCGGAAAGAACGTATATAGGTGCTATAGGAAGTGTGGGTCTCCTTGAAGTAATACTGCTGAATTCTTCAAGAGTGGGCTTCTGTAGCCGCAATCTTATGGGAGTAACTGGTGAGCATACTGGTGGGCTGCAGGTTCTATATCTGACTAGTCAAAATGCGTTCAAAAATGCCATGCATTCAGAAAAAAATGTAAAAGGAGGTGCCGGTGAAAACATCGTGACAGGCCGGTTGATATAGAAGACTAACACAACAAAAATGACTTGAAGAAAGAGAATCAGAGGTGGAGGGGAGCCGTCAAACCTTGATCACCTTTCATTTACTTAGGATTGAATAGGATCATTGAAAAAATTCCAGAATTCGACAGGAGACAGGAAAGAAGAGACAGGAAGACAGAGCAGCGGTGTAGTGACAAGTGATCCCGTGGCCAAGTCACTAAGAGCCCTAAATTGGTGGCAGTGTCGTCTGGAAAGATGAAACTGTTGACTTGTGCACCGGATAGCCCCCGCAGGTTGTGGTATGTGTAAGCCTGTACAGCAAATCGCATTCAAAAACTACTAGGATCCCGAATGTGAGTGCGGGCGAAATTCCGAGAAAGGGGCTGATTAATGCTAGAGGCCTTACTCTTTTAGGTTACATAACTAGCATTCTGCATCAATATTCGTCTCCTTTTGGGAATGTGATACGGTAAGGGTACTGTAACTGCAAAAAATCCCATTATTCCGACGTCACTTGGTTGATACCAGAGCTGTCCGGAAAGAATGAAAAACGCGGAGTGGCAACTTCTACAAGACATTCCGCAGAAATACGCTGCCAAATGCTCCTTTGATTTTGAATAGGAACCGAATGTGTGACGAATATTAAAAGAGATTCCTCATCCATCAGGCAAGTCTGGTATCACAATTGACATCGGATCAAGAGGATCCATTTTGCCCTGGTGCGACTTGATCCGGGCACACTCCTGATCAGGCGTGTGGCTAGGGACGGGAATCATCACTGCTATAATTCTACTGGAGCTCGTTAAACCGAAACGTGGATCAAGTCGCGAGTCTGGGCTTCAACTATGTTACTTGAGTGGTTGTAAACTAATACTTACAATTTCATAGATACCACCAGCAAGGGAGGCGATCTGCGTTGCTGCTGCGATCGAACCCATCACATCGGGTGCTACATCGATCCGATTCCATGACACTTTGGCTTTACATCACTAATCGTTCATGCAATGTCGATGCTTATACAGAAACCTTAACGGCCGCTCGACAACCCACTCTGCATGTCGACGTACATGAAGATCAGCTTGATCACTGCTGCACATGCAAATAGTTGTCCATAAAGGTATTTCTGGAAATATCGAATATCGGTGAGATTTCTACCAGAAGGCGCGGAGCTGATCCAGGGCCAACCTGCGATTCTGTATTTCCAATCAAGCACGAAGTCTCTCTCCATTAAACAAGGGTGCTTTAAGTGCCCATTGTGAACTGCTGCTGTGCCGTTTAGTAATTGACAGCAATTCTGCGACTGGCGATTCTTAGGCAGCGCTTCAGACCTTCGGCGACGCGCAGCGCTTCAGTCGCCGCAAACTCCGACCAATCGATCGCGCCACTTTTCGAACTGCATCGATCGCATCGAACGCGCGACCGAAGCGCTGCCGTCGCGAAGTCTGAACACTGTCTTAGGCATGCTTTCGAAAACTCGTTCCAAAAGAAAACCGATTCGAGTCCCACCGTCAATAGCACAGTTCTCATTATCGGAACATATTAGCCTGTGTGAACCATCTTCGCGCTCGGTGCGATGATTGGTGAGGGTTACAGTAATCCCAAATTTGGGCACTTTTCAAAGCGAGAACTGTTATGAGATTCTTGTTCAATCACGATAATCGCTGCTTAATGCCTCCGCTCGAGCTCATGACATCCATCATGAAGAATTTCGACTTATGGGAGGAGAAGATATGAGGATCAACTGCACTTTCACTTACGTGGATCGTTGCAAGACAGCCAGCCACACGCCTAACCATAGCAAAATGCCCTACCGGTCTGCGTCCTCTCACTCCGATTGCTCTCTACCTCTGACCAAGCGTTAATTTTTTTGTGCGATTTCGATATCGACGAAATGCACCTGAGTGTGGCTTTGATGAAGTCGCAGGGAAGACCCACATCTGAGTATCCACTACGTCCCAGCCCAACTTTCCGGCCATTTTTTGAGGGCGGAGAAAGTTGAGACTTTGTACTGCAGTTGTGGACCCATTCACCTCGAACATGCAAAAACTGCATACCTACCCTCCCCACTAATGGACGGTGCATTAAAGCGAGGGTGGTATATAGTTTGCCATTAAATCTCAGGCGGCGACTCGACACGTGCACTCACGACAAGACCACGCGCGGGATGATAAAGGATTGAAATTCCGCAGCATCATTTGTATGGCCAGATTTCTTTAACAAGCAACTCCGGACCACCGTTGTGTGAGGAACTCCTGATCACCTCATCATTTTTGGAACAGTAATCAGCAATTTCATCTGTTTCTTCCACTTTCTTATGAGATATGTGTATCATGTGTCCCAGATAGGTGTTTCGAAAATTGATCATTGAAGCACGAAAAGATGGCCAAATACAATACGAAATAGCGATGACGAGGAATCGAATGTCGTTAACTGTGACACGACCAGTGTGCGTCACGCTTAACGGCACAGCTGCCGATGCTGATGAACGGATTGTAGACGTGAAGGGAGTGAGGATTTGCTGTATGAGCCTCAGTGGGAGAACTTAATCGGGCTGACGCCGTACGCACTCTCCTTCTCCGTGCGGGAACCGTTTTCGTGATTCGAAGCTGAGCTACCTGCTACTCTCTCTGAACGTTTCACAAAAAAGTTTTTTTTTGCGGCAACAGTATGCTCGCTCTCATAGCAGAGGCTGCTGATCTAGTGCGAAGACCCCAGTCAATGCCCGTTGTTGCAGGTATTGCACAGTGGGCTAACCTGGAGGTGCGTGCATACTCTAGCAGGTTACTGAGATCTAATAGATTCCATGGAGACTATACTTTGGTCCTGCCCAGCAAGAAAACAACCCACCCTCCTTGGTTGATAATAGGCGAAAGCAGCAATGTAGAACATGAAGAATGCAACGTTGATAGTATTGATGGTTATGTTCGTGTTATCGTTGGTCATGTATCCGTGCCTTAACCAGCATGACGTCCTGAACACATACACTAAATAAGTTAATCTTCTTTACAAATCAATTGCTTATCACGTGCAAATGAGAAATCGGGAAAAGAAAAGAGAGGTAAATTATTTAACAGAGCTCGGGTCATCCAAAATGATGGAGGTACTGTTTTCTGTTCCTTCTGTAGAAGTCTAATTCGAGTTAACCGCTCATTGTAGTTAAAACATTTAGTTAGCCCGAGCGACAAATTTGCTAATATCGCATGTTCGTGATTCCATTCAGTTCATTTGGAAAAAAAGTGAGGCAACATTCGACGATTCGATGAATGTTCGCCGCGCTAACACACACTCCATAATCCATTGGAAATGCGCTGGTAGGCTGCCAGTGTACTCCAATGTGAGCGCGGCGGCGGCTACGGTTTTGATGGGATGTTGCTCAGTTTGAAACCAACTATCACAATGACATCGACTGTCAGCAAAAGGGGGGGGGGGGGCAAGCAGCCCTCGCCAAGTCAGTGCCTCTTACTTCCCATCGAGCGAATTCATTACCAATCCATCGTACCCGGAAGGGGGGTTAGAAAGCTTGTCTGGGCTGGGCAGGAGCCGGTATGGAATTTGACCTTAGGAAGGTAGTGAGCATGCCATCGCGCAGACAACATAGAACTCGCCTCGTGTGAAATATTAGTTGCCAAAAATTCGTGCACAGTTTTAAAATTATATTTTATCAAAATCTTTCCGCAGCTGAGTCAGTATTGGGTGGCATCTTCAAGTTGCTTTACCGTCCCTCGCAAGTCGCTATTGTGTATCAAGCTAGGAAATACATAATTTTCGTCACGTTGCTATACTGAATACCAAGTACACCCGGCTAGAGCCACAACCCGGCATTTCGCTCTGAGCTTAGGTCTGATACTAACCTTCCATAGAAAACAGCGTTGGAATGGCCCGTTCGCTTTCGCTTGAATTTGGGAAACATACGTCGACCAGAGACGCCATGTGCTTTGATCTGGACTGAGTAATTCGCCCTAGCTCGCGCTCAAATATGCCGCCTCTTTGCCTGAGGCCTTTTCAACTCGCAGGTATTGTCAACTGTGCGTTACTGTAGCCCCTGTTGACATGAGCTCAGGCTCCGCACACAGGCGCGGACTTTTCAGGATGATCCGTTTCTAGTGGCGCAAGTTAGGTTTAGTGCTCATACTGGTCTACATAAATGGTATCGTTCGACGGTAACTTACAATCAAACATCGGTAACACAATTCAAATAGATTTTGAAAAGTTTGGCTGTTCCCCCCGCGACGGCAACGCCAAGTCAAAAAGCACGCAAAAACTCCATTTACCGAAAAAGGATAAAGCTTTCCAAAAAGAACCATTACTCCTGCGACAGGGGCCAGGGTTAACCTATAGCTGGTAAAGGGTTGTTCTGAATGGCTGAAACTTACAACGGCATGAGCGTGAACGATATCGAAAATACACCGAGCCATGCGGTAAAAATAGACATTGGAGTGAGTTCCATGGTCATCCTGGAAAGGGGATTTGTGACAACGTCCTGTTGGAATGGACCATAGAAAGCACCGCACAAATCGAAAATACACGCAGCAACAATCTCCACACGAACAACAACATCAGCAAGACGCAAACCCGAAAAATTAGAAAATAAATTAGAAAATTACAACGACAACTGTGGTGGAAGAAGCAATGACGCTTTCGTCCCAACGAGGCATTCATAAGAAAAAGGGCAAACATTCTCGTCAAGGAGGCTCGGCAAGTAAGATATACGACACTCTCCGGAGTAATCTGGGTATTATGTATAGTTTATAATGTCGTAACCAGCTGGGGCGATGTCAGCAGAGGCGGAGTAAGGCCACCTACGGTTGCTCTGCTCCACCAATGGTAACTGGTTAGTGATCGATTCAGGAAGGAAACAGCCAGAAACACCAATCCTTCTTGGAACCGCCCCGAATCATTTTGATGATATCAGCTGTAGATAAGTGTCAAGTGATACCTGAGGCAGATAACTCTTTCTTTACGCAAAAATCAACTTATGCAAAGGAAGCGCCATTCATGCAAGCAAAATAAATAAACAGGTAACCAAATAAGTATTCTCACGCTCTTGTGACGTCTTTCTGCACTATACCACTAGATGATTACCGCGCGGCTTTCTCTTTCACTGCCGTCAACTAATGGTGGGGGGTGTGAGGCAAAAGTTACTCCTTACAATCAGGTGAAAACTATAGAGAACACCAAGAGAGATTCAGAGAGGTCTTAGCCATTCCTTGGCGGGGATCGCGTCCACAAATTCCTTTACTTACATCGTCTCAAGTCGATGAGGCAGTTCCAGGAGGCATTACACAGGTTACCCGCGGTGTTTCCTACCACTGGCCGTTTTCCATTGGAGTTGGCTGCTATTGGTAAAGTTGCAGCAGCGAGTAAGCTCATTCCACGCCTCCTGACACCATCCGAAAGTTTTTCACAGTACCGACTACACTCTATTAGCCGAGCATTGTACTTCTGTCTTTCACAG